TCAAGAGTCAGACCCTCAACTGACTGAGCCACCCAGGTGCCCCAAGAGGAGGCCATTCTTATGCACCCTGGAGAGAACCCAGGGGCCCTCTGCCCCCAGTGGGCCTAGGTATCTGCCACTAAGCAGAAACTGAGCTGGCTCAAGCCACCCTAGGAAGGGGTAGGTTTGAAGGCATTAGAAACATAAGTGGCTCCATGGGAGGAGCCTGAAGGGAGCCGGCAGAGGCTCTCTGAGGAGGAAAGGGTGGAACCTAACCGATCAGCTGTGGCTGAGGGAGCGCAGTCCGTGCACAGAAGTCTAGAAGGTAGACCAGTCTTGAAATCGACAGAAAGTTTGACTAATGGGGCAGAGGCTGAGCTGGGTGGGGTGGCTGGACGAGCATTTATTGGGTAGGAGAGGGAAGCTGCATGCACCTTATCCCTGTTGATGAGCGCAGTGATCAAGTCTTGCTGGCAAGTCATGTCGTGGATGTCCAGGGAGGACCCACTCGCCACCGACAGGCTCAGGGACACATGCTTGTGCATCAGCTCCTCCTCCTGCTCCTGGTTGAAGCGGATGGAGCGCACCTCCTCTACTATCCTGGGGGCGGAGGGGTGAGTACTTTCCGAGGGCTGAGGGAGTTTGGAGGGGAAGGAGAAAAAGGGGGGCAGACCCCACATCTCTTCCCTGGCATCCACCCCGCTTTGCCCTCCCCCTTCACTCCTATGGAGATCCAGCCAAAGCTGTGCGCTCACTTGGATGGAAGAACAGGGAGGTCTGGGGATTCTAGCTCCTGCACCCACAGACCCCGGTCAAGTAGGGCCCCAGGGTCCGTGTTATAGAATGGTGATGGCCCCGAGGTCTGCGCTCAGCCCAGACTTATGGGACTCGGGGTACCCCCAACCCGGCCTACATGTTAAGCTCATCTCGGATCTCCTTGTACTGCATCAAGTTCTCCTGTATTGCCTCGAGCACCAGGCAAAAGTTGTCACAGGTGTTTTCCGAGAGGTTAGACAGGTTGCCCCCCGTAAGTGGCTCCTGGGGGAGGCCAGACATCTCCAAACGGGCGACCGCACAGTGCACCAGTGGCAGGTAGTTACTTCCATCCTCCTCCTCCTTGCCTGTCTGGGAAGAGGGAAACGGGGAAGGGACAGAGCTCAGCCGGCACCCCTCCCCCAGTGCCTTCCTGCTTGGCTTCGGGGAGGAGGAGTCTCCTAGGATACCAGGGTTCTAATGCCCCTCATTGAGCTCCAACAGATCTTAGCCTCCCTACGCTGTTGGTGGGAGGCTTCAGATGCATAAGCCCTTTCCCTACCTCTTTGAAAATTCCTAGCCCCTTTTCAAAATTTAGCACCCAGTTTCCCTCCTGATAAATCCTACCCAGCCAGCTTCTAAAGCCCTGTCTACTCTGAAGTCATAGCCCACAGCCGTGAACATTTTGGAAGTACTCCACCATCCACCCCCACCGACCTTTTGGAAGTTCTACCCCTGAATGAGTAACACTGCAGCTAACATTTAATGAGTTGTATGTGTGTTCATTTATCTCCATAATTCTCATAATAGTCCTATGAGAAAATAACTATTCTTTCCATTTTGCAGAAGAAATTGAGGCTTAAATTGGTCATCTGCCCAAAGGTCACCCAGCCACTCAGTTTTGAATTGCCATAGAAATAAGGCATCTAGGGGGCGCCTGAGTGGCTCAGTCAGTTAAGTGTCAGCTCTGGTCATGATCTCATGGTTCACGGGTTCAGGTCCCACATTGAGCTCTGTGCTGGCAGTGTGGAGCCTGCTTGGGATCCTCTCTCTCTCTAGCTCTCTCTCTCTCTCTGCCCCTCCCCCCTTGTGTACGTGCATGCTCTCTCTCTCTCTCAAAATGAAAAAACTTTAAAAATCTAGGAAATCCATACCCCTCAGATGTCACTCAAGGTAGGGGATGCTGCCCCCAGGTCTCAGGCTTGACTTTCCCCAGGCCCTCGAGTGTGGAAGCATGTGCATGTGCGCTCACATACACACATACACACACATATGTGCACATATACACAGTCAAGTCAGTACATTCTGCCCCCTCCTCCCTTCTGCCCTCCCATCCCACTCACCTCACGGAAGGTTGTCTGATGCAGTTGTCCGTGCTCGCCTGCCTTCATCATTTGCTCCAGATTGGTGGTCACCACAACGACCAACAGGTTGATGCCAATGAAGGCACCGATGGTGATGAAGATGGCGAAGTAGACAGCACCCCCAATCTCCATTGCGTACTCTCTTGTCTCCATCCTGGAGATGGCAGACAGGGGCCCCATCACCTCCCTGGCCCTTTGAGCCTCGATTTCCCCATCTAGGAAACGGGGACACTACCTCAAGGCCCACTGGGTCTTCTGCTACCTCACTGCTGTTGTGCTGATCGAATGCCTGTTCCTGACTGTCATAGCGGCTGCTCTTTGTTGAGCACACAGGGCCTCAAGCCAGCCCTCTAAGGTGGGGATGTGTCCATTGGCATTATCAAGTTTAATCTATTGGCTACACTCTTTATTCACGATTTTCTTATTTTAAAAAATAACTCAAGCTCATAATAGGAGAATTAGAAGGAAGATATATAGGAAAAAAAAACCCATCTACTATTAATACCTTGTTATGAATCTCCTATAAAATATTTTCCTAAAGACTAGGTCTTTCTTTCTCTCTTTCCATACACACACACACACGCACGCACGCGCGCACATATAGAGATACTCTGTGCCAGGCTCTATGCTAAGAGATTTAAATAGATTTTCTCTGTTGATCCTTACAGCAATTCAGACACAGTTAATTACAATAATCCCCAATCAGCAGGTGAGGAAGCTGAGGCTCAGAAGAGAGATGAAGGAATTTGTCCAAGGTTGCATGGCTAGTGTGATGGAGCAAAGACTCAAAAGCCCAGCCTCCAGTGTACCTTTATTGTACACTCTATGATTTTCCCACCATCATAACGGGTGGTGCCCACAGAAACCCTTTACCAGCTGTGCTTCTAGTCTCACAAGAGATAAAAAGAAATCAGTCAGGAGGACCCACTTCCTAGAGTGCACTGGAAACAAATAGGGTAATGGAAAAGAACAGAACCTGGTGGCCATCTATGGCCCCAAATGGCCTTGGGCAGCAGGTGTAAGAATGAAATGAGGCTCTGAGTTCCCAGGAATCCAGGCAGCTTGGTGGGCTCAGATGTGGGCTGGGAGGCTGTCCTGAAACCACAGAGCTGCTCTCTTGCTCAAGACCTACCCAGTTGTTTAGCATGACAGGAGAAATGATGAACAGGCCTGCAGTAGGACTTCGAACAGGTGGAATTTCAAGGGGAACAACGCTTCAAGCAGGCCACAAACCCAGAGGCCCCAGTCTCAGGGGTCTCCCTTTCCCCAGTCTGAAGTTCCAGGCACCCCTCTCCTGCTGGGCACACCCTCATCCCAAGCTCTGGACCACCCACTCCCACTGCCTCGCCCCACTGGGCTGGAGGCCCGGAAGCCCCACAGACACTCACTGAAAGTCCCTGTAGATGTCCACCCAGCCATCTTGGGTGATGCAGATGAAAAGGGTATACAGGGCAACCTGCATGTTCTGGAAATGCATGGGCACAAACGCACCAAAGAGAGTGACCCCGAACACGGAGAACACCTGCCAGAGAAACCAGAGAAGATGCCTGGACTTCACCCAGGGACCTTGGGGACAGGACATGCACATGCCACGCAAATGAACACCGCCAAGGGAATGACAGGGATTCAGGCCCATAGGCCTCTCCTCTTCTTCCAGACACCCCTGTATCCCCAATGACCCAGGGGCCCTGCTCAGGGAAGGGGAGGATTGAGGGCAAGGGAGGGCACTGACCAGCATGAAGAAGAGGATGAGGGTCATGATATTGGCCATGTCAGGCACCGACTGCAGGATGACACGGATGATCCGGGCCAGAGGCTCCACCGCCATGCACACGTGCACCAGACGAAGCGCCCTGTGGCACAGCCTCTCAGGGGTGCCCCCTGGCCCCTCCCAGGCCCCTCCTCCCCCCGCCCCCTGACCTGCCCGGCCAGGCAGAACCGATCCCCACCTCATCTCCTTCCTGGGGTCCAGACAGTTCCCCTTGTTCTCCCGAGTTCCCAGCTCACCTGAGAGTATAGGTGATAGAGATAGCACTGAGTTCATTAATGAAGAACCCCAGGAGCAAGATAAAGATGATAAGGAAGTTGAGGATGTTCCAGCCGTCCTGGGGGGGTTGGGGGGGCCAGCCCCAGTGGGGTCTATCAGGCCCGGCCTGTGGGGACATCCTGGGTCTGCCCTCCCACCGCCCCAAGGTTGGGAGGCTCAGTGTTCCTCTCAGAGCAGGGCCAGTCATCTGCCATCCACTGCTGTTACTTATCTGCTTTCCCCAAACGTGCCACAAGACACACATGCCCTCCCTGTCTCGTCCGTGTGTCCACAGCCAAGTGCAGTCTCAGAGAGACACAGTGGAGACTCTCACGCACACACAGCTAGTTCCTAAGCTGAGCAGCCACCTGGGCTAGCGCACTGCTGAAAATGGCCTGGCCCTACGGTTAGGTGACAGGAGAGCGTTCGGATGCTCCAGGCTTTGTGTGGCTCACACTATAATTAATAATACAATAAAAGTAAATACTAATAAAAACATTCAAGAACACTACTTCGGTAGCCAGTTCAGAAGTACACTGGCCCTCACTGTACGAGAGAGAGACAGAGACAGAGACAGAGACAGGAAATTTTTACAAGCCTTCTGTCCAGTAAGGCACAACGTTACATAGGGGTGGGGACTGAGGAAGGAACCTCATGTATGAAAAGTTCAAGCACACCCACGAAAGGGGGAATTTATCTAACAAACAGTGGATACATTTATGTTTTAGCCAGTGATCCCACTACTAAAATCTGACCCACAGAAACTCTGGTTCAAGTACAAAATGACACCTGTGTAAGGTTGAAAACAACTAAAGTGTCCAGCAATGAGACACCAATTGAATAAACCACGGAGCATTTATTCAATGGAGCGCTGTGTAGCAAAAAAGACAAATGGGAAATATCTCCATGTACTGATACAGAAAGGTTGCCAGGATCCATTAAGTGACAAAAGCAAAGTGCGAGGGGAGGGAGGAGGGAGGCAAAGGCAAACAAAGGAAGGGAGGGAGAGGAGGGATGGAGGACAAAGGCAAAAGAAAACTAAAGTATACACATATTAGCTTATGATCGCAAAATACACACTGATAGGCTATAAATCTAAAAAGATTACCTGGGGTGGAGGGGAAGAGATGAAGGGAGGGAGTGGAAGGAAGAATTCTCTGTGTACCTTTCAATATAGTTTTCCACCAATCTATATCTGCATTAAATATTCAAAAAGAAAACTTTTTTTTTTTTTAACGTTTTATTTATTTTTGAGACAGGGAGAGACAGATCATGAACAGGGGAGGGTCAGAGAGAGGGAGACACAGAATCTGAAGCAGGCTCCAGGCTCTGAGCTGTCAGCACAGAGCCCGACGCAGGGCTCGAACTCACGGACCGCGAGATCATGACCTGAGCCTAAGTCGGCCGCCCAACCGACTGAGCCACCCAGGCGCCCCAAGAAAACTTTTTCTTTTTTTTTTTTTTAATTTTTTTTAACATTTATTTATTTTTGAGACAGAGAGAGACAGAGCATGAATGGGGGAGGGGCAGAGAGAGAAGGAGACACAGAATCGGAAGCAGGCTCCAGGCTCCGAGCCATCAGCCCAGAGCCTGACGCGGGGCTCGAACTCACAGACCGCGAGATCGTGACCTGGCTGAAGTCGGACGCTTAACCGACTGCGCCACCCAGGCGCCCCACCAAGAAAACTTTTTCTAATGGAAAAAAAAAGTTCTTAAACGTATCAGGTAGAACAGTGAACACAAGCCCTCCTGGAATCCCACATTCGGCGTGCCTGTGCCTACACGTACATCAGGAGACACAAGTCAGCCTGGCCACAGATCCGGCGCTCTAACCAGCCAGCATTAAGCTCCTACTGTATGCCAGATCCTGCACCAGATCCTGAGGATACAAGAGGATTTCTTCCCTGCAGGGCACACAATTTCCAGGAAGACAGATTGACAGTAAATTGAAACTCCATGTGAGAGAGATTGTCAGGGAGACACTAACACCTAACCTGGCCTGGGAAAGGCGGGAGGACTTCCTGGAAGAGAAGATATCTGAACGAGTCTGAAGCTGTAAGCAGGAGTAAAGCAAATGAATAAAGTGGCAGGGAGCTTTCATAGACGAGAGGTCAGCTTGGACAAAGGCATGGAGGCGGGAAGCAGCGGTGTGCGCGGATGCGTGAGGGTGCGTGTGCGTGCGGGTATGCGCTGGGGAGTGCAGCTGCAAGCAGTCTGGTAGCCGGAACTTCAAGGGCAAGGCAGGGAAAGATGAGGCTGCAGAAATAAGCAAGGGCCACATCGTGGAAGGCCTTAAGCACTATAAAGCCTTTCGACCTGATCCTATAAACAACAGGGAGCCAGGGCAGGATTTTAAGAATACTTTGGCCTGTGCCTTGGGGAGATTACTTTGATTGGGGGGGGGGGGG